TCTTTATATTTTTTTTAATAATAAACCTATTCCTATCCAGTATCCACTTTTTAAAAAGGTTGGTTTGGAGTTCCGCCTATTTTCTATGTACATTTTCTGACATTTTCTTTGTCATCTAATAGTGTTTTCTTTGTTGGTCGTGCGTTTTATTTTAAGAGTAAAATGTTCATCATTTTAAAAATTTTAATTGTTAATAACTAATTTATATTAATTTTTTAATTATTATTCTTGTAAAAAATAATAATAATGCTTTCTCTTTTCCTGCACACTACCTCTCTAGTGTGAATATCTGAGGAACTGTTACACTTCAATTATGTTTTGGACCTTTCGGCGAGCAATAATTCACAGAAATGAACGAAATTTCTTTGAAAGTTCCAGTCTTTACTTCTTCTTTTCTTTCCAAATTAAAATAATTTTCTTTACCCCATTTTTCTGTCTCCTATTTTGCTCTTTTTCTTTCTTTTCCTTACTGATGCCAACATTGTTTCTTTCTTCTTTCATTGTTGTTATAACAATATGGGAAAAGACTAATGCCAAACAAAAACTAAAAAAAAGTAAGGTTATATCCATATTCCATAATGAAAAATATGACAAAACTAAAAGATATAATAATTATTTAAAAATAAATATCAACTTATATTGTATAAAATTAAGTTAAAATTTTTCAAATTATACTATTTTAATAAAATTTATTTTAAAAAATTAATATATTTTAATTTTTAAATCTTCTCCTTAGCTTTTCTTTTACTACTTTTCAAGGAAAATTACCCAATGCTAATGCAATTATGTTGAACCAATGCAATCATGTTTCTCCGATGCCTATTTTCAAAAGAAATGCAATCATGTTTCTGTGATATTTTCTGTGTGCATTTTCTGACTTTTACTTTCTCATCTAGTAATACTTCTTATCTTTTACCTGCTTTATGCCTCTAATTTGAATGATTGACGAGAAGCCGAGTGCCCCACTTCAATTATGCTTTGGGCCTTTCGTCGAACAAGAATAATTTATAAGAATGAAAAGCAATTTTTTTTAATTTTTTTTTTTATGGTTCCAGGCTTTACATATTCTCGATACTTGCAAAAATAATTGGCAATGGAAATTTCCTGTCGTTTTGTTTTCCCTCCACTTGTCTCTTTTAAAAAATAAATTAATTTTTAATGGAATATTTCCAATCCTTAATATCTCCTTTTGCAGGAATTTCTCGGCAGGTAGAAGAAGGAAAGAAATCGAGTGTAAAAGGAATGTACCCGTGCACTTTCATTTATCTTTAATTAGCATACTTTATAAAAGAAAAAATAATTGGT